TCCATCTGCCTCTGCCTCGAAAGTGCTGGGACTAAAGGCATGCACCACCACCACCTGGCTATGCCTGTGCTCTTAACTGCTGAGTCAACTATCAGCCTCCAAATATTCTTAATTGAGACAGGGTTTCTCTGTGTAGCTCTGGCTCAACTAGAACTCAGTCTGAGGACCACACTGGCCTCAAACTCACAGAGATCTGCCTGCCTCTGCCCCAAGTGCTGGGATTAAAAGCATGCACCACCACTACCCAGCATTTTAATATTCTTAATAGCTAGTATGCTGAGGTTCCTGCAAAATCCATTTCCTAACATCAGCCTCTCTATGGGAACTAATTTTAGACTAGTTTTCCCTAAATGCTGACAATTCTTTCTGGAGTTGCCCTGAACATGGATCAAAGCTTGCAAAGAGAAATCAATAGGGTTGGTGACTAGGAGACTAGACAAAAAAAAGGCAGCTCTTAAATTCTTTGCATTCTCAGCATCCACATGGAGGCTAACAGCCATCCTAACTCCAGTTTCAGAGAATCCAACATCCTCTTTTGGTCTCCTGAAATACCAGGTTCACACAAAGTGCTTTAATCTTTTTTCACACAGTATGTGTTTGTTGCTTTCTCATAATGCAATGCTAAGTGCCAGGTAGCCTGGGATTGTCCCCACTACTAGTTTAGGACCTGGCACAATGGATGAAGCCAATGGTGGTTTAAAGAAAAAAAGGCGGCTCAGACTCAAAATCAAGTAAGAGAAGGGAGCTTTCTGAGTTGGGTGGTGGTGAAAGAGGTACAAACAGAGAAGGGAGGCAGAACTCAAGACATAGAAAGGACCCCAACTGGAATATCAGAAGTGTACATGGGAAAATACCTGGGAAGGTTAGATATACCCTGGTAGGAATTTTACTTAAGTATGGTGGCCCAAGCCTATAATCCCAGCACTTGGAAGGCCAAAGCAGGATGACAAAGGCTAGCCTGGGGTACTTAGTGAGAACATGCCTGAAACATGGAAAAAGAAACCAAGTATAAAACAGGGGTTCAAAGGATCAATCTCACTTTTCAAAATATTTTAAGCAGTCAGAAAAATAACTGGAGCATCAAGGCCTAAGAATAGTGGTTTTCTGAATTAATGTGTAGTTTTATATTTTTCCTATCTTACCATATGCACCTAGGTTTCTAATTTTCTTTACCTTTGCAGTGTACCTTCCCCTGTTTCCTTCCAACCCAGGGCTTTCCACATGCCTGGCAAGCACTCTACCAGTTAAGTTTTCCTTGGACCTTGGTATGGAACTGTAGCCATGGCTAACTTAAATCAATATTCCTGCCTTTGCCTCATTAAGTGTTGGGATCACAGGCATTATCACTATGCCTGGCTTTTTTTTTTTTTTTTTTTTGAGTCAAGAGTATCACTGAACTCAAACCGCCGCCTCTGCCTGGGATTAAAAGCATGTGCTCCCACTTAGAGCTTTAAAAAAAATTTATAGTTTTATTTTTATTATGTTTAAAGGCTTTTATGTGTATAAACGTTTTGCCTGCAGGGATTGATGTGTACCATGTGCATGCCTGGTACTTGAGGACACCAGAAGAGGGCAATGAATCCTCTGGAACTGAAGTTACAGATGGCTGCAAGCCCCCAGGTACATACTGGGAATTAAACCCAAGTTGCTCTGCAGGACTAACAAGTGCTCTGAACTGCTGAGTCATCTCTCTCCAGCCCAAAATTTTATTACATTTTGTGTAAGTCTTTAAAAAAAAAATATGAGCCAGGTGGTGGTGGCACACACCTTTAATCCCAGTAGTCTAGAGGCAGAGGCAGGTGGATCTCTGTTTCGAGGTCAACCTGGTCTATGGAATGAGTTCCAGGGCAGCCAGGGTTGTTACACAGAGAAATCCTGTCTGGAAAAACAAACACAAATTATGTTTATCAGTGTTTTGCTTGCATTATCAGTGTTTTGCTTGCATGTATATGTCCGCACAACACACACAGCTGAAGCTCTCAGAGGCCAGAAGAGGGCAATGAACCATTGTTAAGTGCTGGCGCCAACATACAGCTCGTGTGTGTGTGTGTGTGTGTGTGGGTGTGTGTGTGTGTGTAGTTGTGTGTGTGTGTGTGTGTGTGTGGGTGTGTGTGTGTGTGTAGTTGTGTGTGTGTGTGTGTGTGTGTGTGTGTGTGTATGTGTTTTGTGTGTGTTTTTCTGGGAGACAGGGTCTCACTATGTAGTACTGGCTGTGTGTGTGTGTGTGTGTTTTTCTGGGAGACAGGGTCTCACTATGTAGTACTGGCTGGTCCAGAATTATCCATGTAGACTAGGCTTGCCTGATTAAAGGATGCACCACCATGCCCTGCCCTGCAGCCAAGTACTCTTAACTGAGCCATCTCTCAGAGTCCTACACAGCCACTTTTCTCTCCTTCACCCCCTCGTCCTTTTTTTTTTTAATTTTTAATTTTTAATATTTTTTTTGAGACAGGGTTTCTCTGTGGCTTTGGAGGCTGTCCTAGAACTAGCTCTTGTAGACCAGGCTTGTCTCAAAGTCACAGAGATTGGCCTGGGACTAACGGCGTACGCCACCACCACCGCCTGGCCAATTTTTTTTTTTTTTTTTACTTTTTTGAGACAGGTTTTCTCTGTGTAGCTTTGGAGCCTATCCTGGCACTTGCTCTGGAGATCAGGCCAGCCTCTGCCTCCTGAGTGCTGGGTTTAAAGGCGTGCACCACCAATGTCCGGCAAACTTTTTGGTTTTTAACCAGTTTCTCACTATGTAGTCCTGGCTTTAGATAGAATCTTCACAGTCTATCTCTGCCTGCACTGAAATTCAACTTTGTAAACCAGGTTGGCCTCATCTCAGAGATCTACCTGTTTCTGCCTCCAAAGTGCAGGGGGATTAAAGACATGTGCCACCATGCCCAGTCATACAGCTGGCTTTTTAAACAGTGGTTTTCTGAGCTGGAATTATAAGGCACTTTTCCTCCATACTTTGTGTTCATTTGTTTGTTTTGTAGTGACAATGCTGTTTTGGCAAAAATGATATGGCTATGAAAACTGTGGGTCTTTTCTAACATATATGCACAGATAAAAAGAGAATACACACCGAGTAACTGATAGTAACTAGCCCTTTGGATGGTTCAATGTCTTTCTGCATTGTTTGAATCTAATGTATTTGAAAAAGTCAACACCCATCATTTACCAACTCACCCATTCAGAAATGGCAGAGCTTCCCAGGTAGGAGGGAGTAGGGGGGGGGGACACCCTCAATCAGGACATGGCCAGTATTGTCCCCATTCCTTTCTCATTCTGGGACCCAGTCCAACCCATGCCAGACAACTCACACAGACTGAAAGAGGAGCCGGGGGTGGGGGTGTCTCATTGTAACACTCATTTTTATATAAATATTCGCAAGTCATGTTACAGAATAAGCCCCACTGGGGAAAAAGTCAAAGTTCCGGTCTTGTTAAACTGAGCCCTGCCTTCTAGTTGGGCCCCAGCCTGGAGGTGCTGCTGCTTTGGGAAGGCTGGGGCTGCTGCTGGGAGGCTGCTGAAGAAGCTGCCTGTGTTGCCCACCCCTGAACCAACCCCCTTCTTTGGTGTGTGTTTCATGGTGACCTTCTCTGGCCACCCCTCCCTTAGTTTGGGACAGGGTTCTGTGGAACAGGGCCCAGGAGTCCTGGGGGCACTTGGAAATATGGTGGTGGTGGCAGGGACTTAGCCATTAAGAGGAGTCTAAGGCTTGAAGGCTGAGCCTTTTAGAGCTATGGGCCACACAGAATGAATAGAACAAGTCTGAGGGAACCTGGGCTGACAGCCAAATAGTGTTTGCCCTTCCTTCCAGCCTAGATTCTAGGTCCCTTTCCCTGTTGGTCTACCTCCTGCTGGACCCCACATACCCAGGGTCAAGCCCTGGGTTCCTGCCTGTCCCCTCCAGGCTCTTCCCCTGGGACACCCTCCCCTACAGAGAGGCCAGAGGCTAGGAACACAGCACCAGTCTGAGGATTTAATTAACCAGGAAGGGGATTGTTGGGAGGGGCACCCCTGTAAAAATGTACAAAAGGTCTGGGGCATTTGTGGAAGGGGTGATAAATATGTACATGGAACCCCTTTTCCTTTAGTTCCTCCTTCCTCAGCCCTAGGAGGGCATGAGGACTTGGGTGTTAGGTGAAAGAGAGGGGGGCACTTTGGCCTCTGGCTTAGTGAGCCCTTGGGGAGGCAGGCCAAGGGCCTAGAGGCCCTTAGAGGGGGCATTGGTGCACCTTAGGTCATGAGCCATAACCTCTGAAATGACCCCCTCATGCGTGCACACGTGCACACACACTTACACACTTACACACACACACACACACACACACACACACACACACACACACACTTCTCTCTAGAGGCTTATGACCTCTGTCCTCCCAGTGTCCCCACAGTCTACCAAATACTTGACCTTGTGGGGCTGGGGGGCTGGGGGGGGCG